AACGTAGCCCCTGTCTGTGTTTGCATCCCGGGCAAAATGCTCCGGAGAGGAGCCAGGACATGCTGGTGCGGCCACACTGTGCCCATCTCTGTCCCCCGCCAGCCACTCTGCTGGCTCTGGGGACACCAGCCAATTTTTGCACCCTCCAGGTGAACCACTGCCTGCCCAAGAAGATCGTCATCTACCGGGACGGCGTGTCGGACACGCAGCTGGACACGGTGGTCAAGTACGAGATCCCGCAGCTGCAGAAGTGCTTCGAGACCTTCGCCGACTACCGGCCCAGCATGGTGGTCATGGTGGTGCAGAAGCAAATCAGCACCAACTTCTACATGAGCGCCGCGGAGAACTTGGTGTCCCCGCCGCCGGGCACCGTCATGGACCACACGGTCACCAGCTCGGAGTGGTGAGCGGCGCCCGCGGGGCTGCGCGGGGCCGCGCGCTCGCCCGGCTCCGGCAACCCTTCCCTTTTCCCCCTTGGCAGGGAGGATTTCTTCCTGCTGGCCCATTGCTCCCGCCAGGGCTGCAGCGTCCCCACGCGCTACGTTTGTGTGCTGAACACGGCCAGCCTCAGCTCCGAGCACCTGCAGAGGTGAGCGCGGGACGCCCGGCCTCCCTAAACCCGCTTCCTTTGCACGTTCCCGGCAAGCGAGCCGGGAGGCCGGCGGGATGAGCGGGCACGGGGCCGGATGCCTCCGTTATGGGGTTGGATTCAGCGGGAGGGCGCGAGGGGGAAGGAGGGAGGCGGATTCCATCCCTCCTGCTCCTCCGTGAGCGTTAACAGCAACTCGCTGCCGTCGGCACCGGGAAGGAGCTGCCCGTGCGGCGGCGCTGACCGCTCTGCCCTCGTGCCCAGGCTGACCTTCAAGCTCTGCCACATGTACTGGAACTGGCCGGGCACCATCCGCGCGCCCGCGCCCTGCAAGTACGCGCACAAGCTGGCCTTCCTCGCGGGCCAGGTGCTGCACCACGAGCCCGGCATCCAGCTCTGCGACAAGCTCTTCTTCCTATAGCGGCCTCTGCCCGCTCGGGGCTGCTTCCAGGTGTTGCCTCCTGCTCCGCTTCCTCTCCGCACGCTCCTCCGGCCTCCACGCGCTCCTCGGGCCTCGTCCTTTGCCTTCGGGACAGCGGCAGCACCCGGATTTGGGTTTTCCTTTCCTTTCTGCGAGCTCTCGTTTCACAGAGCCAGTTCCCCCTTCCTTGTTCGTCACGTGCTTAGAGGCACCAGGTTTATAAGGAGAAGACTTTTTTTTTTTTTTTATCCTTATTATTTATTTTTACTTTTCTCAGCTACTTGCTGGAGACCATGCCCACCCCCAGACCCCCCCTCTTCGAGGGCTGCTCTCTCGTCTTGCTCTGTGGTAGAAATGAGTTGAAAAACCTGGAATTGAGACCTGAGCCCGGGTTCCTGCACCGCTCAATTTTAAAGCAAAATTGGTTGGAAAACCCTTATTCCCCTCCCCACCGCCCTTCCTTTTCTCTTTGTTTTAGTGCAGCTGCAGCACCCGTTTGCTTCAATAAACCTGTTCCCGGCAGCTGCTCTGGCTCCCTTCTTCCCGGCGCCGCTTTGGGAATGTGCCGGGATGGGGGGATGCTCCCTAGGGAAAGGACCCGGGACCAAAGCTGCGACGTGGCGCCCCGGCTCGCCCCCCGCTTCCCGGTTAATCATTGCCCGGCCGCGTCAGCGCCCGGGCGCCCCGTTCCCGTCACTCCGCTCGCGAGCGCGGCCGGAGCGCGCGGACTTTGGCAGCGTCCCGCGCCGGCGGCGCCCGTGCCCGTAATTATCCCGGCCCCC